CTTTTGTGATGTTAAGACTAGCTGACATCTTAACAGGTGGTGCCAGCCTGATCCATCCACTGTAAAGTTCTCCAACAACTTTTTATCTACTACAGCGTTTGTTTTCTTTTTTGTGATACTGGGTGTAGAATCCAGGGAGGGCTAAGATATATCCCTAGCCCTTTTTATTTTTGAGACAGTATCAAGTTGAGTTGCCCATACTGTCCTTGAACTTTGGATCCTCCTGCCTCAGCCTCCTGAATAGCTGGGATTACAAGTGTGTACCACCAGGACTGTAAAATGTAAAGTGTGAGCCCAGGACTGATATTATCAGCATCGCTTGCAAGCTTGTTAGAAATGCAAATTCTTGGGGCTGGGGTTGTAGCTCAGTTGGAAATGGTGTACACTACTAGTTCGTGTGAGACCCTGGGTTCACCCCAACACCCGGATCCCCACACACGTTCTTGGGCTGACTGCCAGGGAGTGGAAACCGCTGGTTTCATGCTTTTAGCAACTACCGGAAGTCGCCACCAAAGCTCCTTATCTTCCTAGGAATTACAGAATGGTCACATTCTAGTCTTGTCATTTCTTCATTTATTAGCTGGTGAAGGATGTGTTTTTAAGAGGTAGGGTAGGGTGGCAAGGAGGGTGCTACTGGGCTTATTTGATTCTAAGCAAAATTTAATAACAATGTTCAGATGCAGGAAAAAGGTTCAGCCTAGCACAGCAGGCAGTCTCTCCAATTCTTTATTTCATTTGTTTGAGGGGGAGTGGGGATTGAACCCAGGACCTTTGCACTGAGCTACATACCACCCCCCCCTTTTTTTTTCTGAACTGGGGATTGAACTCGGGTCCTTGCGCTTGTGAGGCAGGCAGCGGAACCACTGAGCTAAATCCCCAGCCCCTACATACCCTTTTTTAAAATTTTGAGGCAAGTTCTCGCTAAGTCACTAAGTTGCCCAGGTGGGGTTTGAATTTGTGATCCTCCTGCCTCACCTCCCAGAGTATTAATTTCATTGTTTGAACAACTAACATGATTATTCAGATTTAGGGAATCTTTTACTTATTTCTCCATCTTTTCTTTAGTTTTTCCTTTTTTAAAAATCAGCGATTAGATCAGGTCCCCTGGGAGAAACAACCTTTCCCTCTAAACAAATAGCTTCTGAATGTTACCATTATTCTTTTTATCCCTGGAAGAGAAAAGCAAGAATAGCACCCCCCTTCCATTTTTGCCTTGCAAAATCTGCACCCCTCCCAGTTGGTTCCTGTGACAGGAGTTGGATGCTTGGGTCTGAGGCCATCATGGGATTTGGGGTTTCCTCCATCTCTGGGATTGGGGGCCAAGTATGGGGATTGTCTTGGTGAATTCAGAGAAGGTACAAACTCTTCATCCTGAAGTAGGAACCTCAGCCACACAGTTTGAAAAATAATGTTATTGCTTCTTCCTAGTCTTGTCAGGATGAACTATGCATTTTAAAAATCATTAATGAACAGATAGATTCAAACATATTTGTCTTTCAATTATTTTTTTGTTTTGTTTTTTTGGTACCGGGGATCAAACTTGGGTCCTTGCCCTTGCGCAGCAGGTGGCGAAACCACAGAGCTAAATCCCTGGCTCTTGTCTTTCAATTATTATTGTTACTTTTAAAATTGATATTCCAATAGCTCCGATATTAGACCCAATATACAGTATGAATATGCAGTTTTCTAGGCTTTTTTTCTGGCCATGGCATGAACCCAAGGCCTTCACTCTCAGTTACATTCCCAGTGCTTTAAAAAAATTTTTTGGTAAATTTTAAGACAGGGCCGTGCTAAGCTGCTAATTCACCCAGACTGGGCTTGAACCTGTAATTCTCTTGCCTCAGCCTCCCAGAGTGCTGGGATTACAGGCATGCACCTCCACACCCAGCTAGACTTTTAAAACATACCCATACATATAAAATTACAAGAAAGATTTTATTAAAAATATTTTAATCAGCTTTATTGAAGTATAATCTACAAATGGTAAAAGCCACTATTTCAACTCACTGATTTTTAAGCATCACTTAATTTTGGAAAATATATACAGTCATGTGACCATCACCATACTCACAATAATGGAATATTTTTATCACCCCGAATTTCTTTTGTGCTTTTTGAAACTACTGATCTGCAGTCACCACAACTGTACATTTTTTAGACTTCCACATCAGTGGAATGATACAGCATGCAGTCTTTTGGGTCTGGCTTCTTTCACTTTGCTTTTAACTTAAAAACATCAGCATCTTTGCATGGTCAGAGGTCACCTATGTGTGATTCCATTTATGTGAGAGTGCAGAAAAACTGAATTTATGGAGACAGAAAGTCATTAGTGGTTGCCAAGACCTGAGGACAAGTACAGGGAGTGGCTGGAGTGTGTGTGACCCACCGAACCCTTTTGAAGTGATGGAAATGTGCCAAAGTTTATTGTGCTAATGGTTGCATAAGTTTGTAAGTTTACTAAAAAAAAAAATCATCAAATTGTACATTTACAGTGGGAGAATTTTCATTTTATTTATTTTTGAGACAAAAATCTTGCTGTGTAATCCGAGTCAGCCTTGGACTCACTGTGTAGCCTAGGCTGGCCTTGAACTTGCAGTCCTGCCTCAGCCTACCAGAGTACTGGGATTATAAGTGTGGTCCACCATGCCCAGTGTACAATGAGAGAATTTTAGGTCCTATAAATTATTCTTTAAAAGGTTAAAAGAGACCTTAAATAAGGTAGCATAAATAAAAGTACTTCAATCTGAAGTGGGATTATAGAATGATAGCAGTTCATCAGATGGATAGTCCACAATGGATCAAGGCTTTGTAGATGCCTGCAGGCTAAGAATTACTGTACCCATAATGTACATTTGTTAGCACTTGTGTGGTTCTGTAGGCTAATTTCTGAGAAATGAAAATTCAAGCCACAGATATGACTCGTCTTTAGAGTTTCCTTGCCGATAAGGTCATGGTAGCCTGGGTGTAGTATTCTTGGTTATACTGGCTGTTGTTCAGTGGCTTCCATCTTAGCCACAATGATAGGTGAAAACCAACATCTCATTGCTTTCATTGCATTTCTTTGATTACTGGTGGATTGAACATCTCTTTCTCATGTTCTGTTTTTGTAAATATTTGTAAGGCTTTGTAAAAATACCTACTTTTATTGACCCTACATTTAATAAAAATTTATGAACAGTCGAATATGACAAAAATACATAATAAGAAGTGTAGTCATGTTCACTGTAGCATTTTTATAGCTAAAACGTGGAGGCAATCCAGGTAAGCAGTGATGGGTAAATGAATAAAAAGATGTGGCCCTAAAAAGGAAGGCCGTTGTGACACATGCTACACCATGGAGGAACCTGGAGGACATTACGATGAGCCAAATAAGCCCATTACAAGAAGGCAAATACTTTAGGACTCCACTTAGAATAATCAGAATCATAGAAGTGGAAAGCGGAATAGTGTTGCCAGAGGCTGGGGGAGGGACTAGTGGAGAGTGTTGTTTAAAGGGTAGAGTTTCAGGTTTTGCAAGATGAATTCTGAGGACGGTGGGGAATTGGTTACCCAAGGACACGAATGTCCTCAGTGCCACGGAACCACACATTTCCAGGTGGTTAAGACGGTAAATTTCATGTTACATGCATTTTACCGTAGTTTGAAAAATTGGAAAAAACATAAGGGAAGATACGCGTCCTCTCCTAACTACATTTGAGAGGAACCTTTTTTTCTTTCTTTTTTTTTCATACTGGGGATCAAACTCGGGACCTTGCGCTTGAGAGGCAGGCAGTGGAACCACTGAGCTACATCCCCGACACTCCCTCCTAACTACATTTGAGAAGTGCATGTTTCTCTGGTTACGTTGCCTAGATAGATTCTAAATGTTTTAAAATAGAAAATGAGGGCTGGGGATTTAGCTCAGTGGTTTCACCGCCTGCTGCACAAGCGCAAGGACCCGCGTTCGATCCCTGGTACCAAAAAAAAAAAAAAGAAAGAAAGTGAGCTGCTATAGTCACAGTTTTGCAATTCCCCCTTTCATTTTTTAAAAGCTTTATTGGTATTTGATCCCCAGCACCTTTCATTTTTTATTGGGATAACAATTCACATATAATAGAATTAATGTATTTATGCTGGGGCTGAGCGATGGGCCTGGCATCTGCTAAAGAAGTACCCCACCTCTGAGCTGCAGCCCACACCCCTTCCCTGTTTAAATTGTATAATCCAGTGGTTTTCAGCATCTACACAGTGATATGCAGCTGTTCCTACAACAAAGTCTGGAACACTTCCATCACCCTAGGAGGAAGCCATGTACCCTTTAGCTGTCACTTCTAATTCTCCCCCGGCTCCTGGTCATTGCTTTTTGTGTTTCTCTGGATTTGCTTCTTCTGGACATCGTATATAAGTGGAATCCCACTCTATGTGACCTGTTGCATCTGGCTTCTTTCATTCAGTATGTTCTCAAGGTTGAGCCACATTGAAGCACGTGTCAGCGCTTTATTCCTTTTTATTGTGCAGTATCCCACTCCATTTTATTTATCCATCTATCTGTCCATGGACTTTTGGGGTGTTTTCATGTTTTTGCTATTCTCAATAATGCTTCTGTGAGCATTCACGTAGACTTGGGTGAACTATGTTTTCTTTGTCTTAAAGATATACCCCAAGGAATGGAATTCTTGGAGCATATGGTAATTTTGTTAGCCATCCAAAGACCCATGTTTCATTTTGCAGTACAAGTTGGATAGTCTTCCATGCCAACACTTACGGGCGTATTTCTGGGCCTGTGTTGATGGATGTCTGGGTTGCTTTTGGTGTTTGTTTCTACAGATAGGGATACAAATCCTTTCTGAAGAGCCCTTGGGTTGTTTCCAGTCTTTGGCAACGTGAACACGGCAGGGAATATCCTCGTACACTGCGGAAAGTTTCTGTAGACCATGTGCCTAGAGATGGCAACGTGAGAGGTTTCTCCGTCTTTAAGGTCTGGTTTCTTCCCAACTCTGACCCTGTCACTTTTTTCACAGGGGACCAACCAGGCACCATGGCACAGAAGGGACAACTCAGCGACGATGAGAAATTCCTCTTTGTGGACAAAAACTTCATCAACAGCCCAGTGGCCCAGGCTGACTGGGTGGCCAAGAAGCTGGTGTGGGTCCCTTCTGAGAAGCAGGGCTTCGAGGCCGCCAGCATCAAGGAGGAGAAGGGCGATGAGGTGATGGTGGAGCTGGTGGAGAATGGGAAGAAGATCACGGTCGGCAAAGATGACATCCAGAAGATGAACCCGCCCAAGTTCTCCAAGGTGGAGGACATGGCAGAGCTGACGTGCCTCAACGAGGCCTCGGTGCTGCACAACCTGAGGGAGAGGTACTTCTCGGGACTCATCTACGTGAGTGTCTCCCGGCTTCAGCCGCTTCTTCCTGGTCTCCTGTGCCCTGCAGGAGGGAGGGGCTCGGGGCGCGTCTGGGGCCAGATGGAAAGCTGGCGGTTGGACAGCAGGAGGCCGCACTCTGAGGTGGAGTCCCTCAGTTGTGGGTTCACATCTCAGGCCTCCCCGTCCTAGCTCTGGGACATACACCAGCTGATTTCCCCGCTGGAAGCCTCTGTGTTTTGAATCTATCAAAGGAGAATAATCACCCTTAGCGCATATGGGAGATGTGACAAATCCAGGTAATCAAAGATCATAAGTGCTGAGGCGCATGACAGTCACCTCAGATTTTATTAGCATCACTTTCTGCCCTTCCTCCATCTTGGAAATGGGGAAGAGCTCATAACCACCTTGGAAAGGCTGCTGCACCCTGGCAACCAGGTGGGCAGGAGACGTGAGGATGTGGCTAGGTGTCAGGATGACTTCCCTGTCACAAATGGGAATGACCGGATGGGACCTGGAACTCCTTGGGTGGACTCTGCGGACCAGAGTGGACTAGGATTGTACTGTTCAGCATGGTAGCTGGTGACTACTTGTGGGTAACTACATTGAGGTTTTAACTAATTTTAAAAATTAGAACTTAAAAATTTGTTTCTTCACTTGTTTCTTGGCCACATGTCAAGTGCTCAACAACTACTGGTGGCTACTGTATCAGACAGTGTAGGTCCAGAACATTCCCACATCACAGTTCTGTCCAGGGACAGCTTGGACTGCGGGGTAGGGCTGGTGACAGGAGGATGCTGGTTCCTGGTGGAGTTGAACCAACTCCCTGGAACAAGGGGCTCGTGATGCCAGCCTGCTAGGCAGAGGTTCCCAGCCCTGCCTTTGTCTACCTTTATTCCTCCAAAGCCATGCTGATCCTTTGGGAAGGCTTCCTCACTCTGAAATTTTGTTCCTTCTCTGCATTAATGGACACAGGAATTGTGCCAGCCTCAGGGAGCATGAAGCATGAACACATTTCCCAGCACATAGTAAGCACTCAAGATGTATGTGTTGTTAGTATTGGTTTTGTGGTAGCTATGATCGTCTTAATTATTACTGGTCAGGTGTTGGATCTTTTGCGAACTCGTGGACCATAGTCACTTCTGTTGAGGACAGAGTTACTTCTGTCCTTTTACGTCCTTTTGGTCCTGTCCTTTACATTTTGCCACTTGATAATTACAAAAAGCCCTTTGTCATCAATAATGTCCTGCAGATTTTTTCCTAATTAGGAAAAATAAGACACCTTCACCATGGAAGACTTGGAAATATCAGAAAAGCATAGTAAATACAAAAATCAGTCCTTGCCCAGAAATGAGGTGTGTTTGTGTCCTTCTCTTCTCTTTGGGAGAATGGTACCCGGAGACAAGTTTAAAAGCCTGCCACGCACACAGCTCCGTGATGTGCTCTTTCCTCCTGCATTAAGCAGGCTTGTCTCGTTTTACAGGTGAGCAAGCTGAGGCCCAGAGAGGTCAAGCCCATCCTTCCTTCCCTAAGCAAGTAGAGAAAGTCTCTCTTGTCCATGACATTTCTTACTTGGAAATATCATTCTAGGTCTGTTGGTAGGTTGGATGTTTCTAGGAGTCCAGACTGCAGGAAGCTAGGGGGAGATTGGGTACCTGGGGCCCAGATCCCCCCATCCCAGCCATGTCTTCTCCACCCAGCGAGGTTGAGGTTCCAGTGCTTGCAGTTCAGCTGCTGCCCTCCGACATGCTGTTTAAATCCAAAATAGAGATCAGAACAAAAGAGGGGCTTATGAAGGTCTCGGGGCCCAGAGCATCATCTGATCATATTAAAAAGTACAGCTTCAAAGTCCTGCTATGCTTCTCTGGACAGATTAGATTACAATCCTTTTGGCCTTGTGACAATGCACCTGCTTCTATCTTGTATCTTTCTGCTCAATTTAACTGCTTAATAAAAACGAAAGCACATGACAGAGAGGATAAACGAAGGGGTGGGGATGGGAAGCAGAGTAAGCTCCTCTCCCGGCTCCTGATTACAGGGCGTGGACACTTATTAACCCTGGGTGGCAGCAATGACACTGTGTCCGTGGCCCAGGCAGCTGGCCCCAACAACTCTGCCCTTGGTGATGAGGGAATCTCTCCTGTCCACTCCGCACCCAGCCTCAAACAAAGGACCTCTAAGGAGGTGCTGCAGACCCCTTGGCCCCTTGGCCCTAGAAGCGTCTTCGGGAGTATGAGGAGCCTGTCTGCTTGTATAAGAGAGGCAGGCTCTGTGCTCCGCAATACCCAAGGACTCACCTGAGCTGCTGCATGGAGACCCGGCTGCCATGGGATCGCAGCACTGATTCCTGGCCGAGGCCCCTGGTTCTTATGGACAATGCTGTGAGCTGGGTCCACTCTGCCTGTTCTTTGTCGTGGACACGTAAGCGGTCAGCTCTGCCCTTGGTCTTTGGCTGTGGATCCAGGAGTGGGGAGTTCACCAGGTGTGGGCCTGCTTTGGGCCAGGCACCACTCCACGTCCTGGCCAGGCCACTCTGTGATGCTGGTGCCGGTGAAGCTGATATCCCACTTTATGGATGAGGCAAAGAGGTAATACCCTAAGAAGGGACCCAGGTTCCCACTTTGCTCTTTCTGGCTGTGAAATTGTTTGCTTTGCTCTCCTCCTCCTCTGTGGAATGCTGGCCCCCATCCTTGCCCAGAGGTTGTTTTGCAATTAAGAGGGAGAAGAGGAGATGGACCTGAGTTAGATACAGATCTGTGACATCTCTTCTAGGATGTGCAAGGGGTGATTGAAAAATACAATAAATGTTTGAATCGTTAAAAAATTATTACAATAAAAGACACATTACCATTAATCCCCTTTAAAAGAGTCCCCCTGCTTCAAACACACTTATCCCACCCTTCTTGCCTCTTTCTGAAGCGGTTCCGGAAGTCCTCTTTCATGAGTGTCCTTCTGGGGCGCAATGAGAACGACAGTGACTACTGCTGCTGAGCACCATCCAGCTGAAAGGCAGGCTCATAAAAGCGTTAGGGCGCGTCCTCATCCGCCTTAGCGCCAGACGTGTGGCCCTGCAACTTCCAGCTCTTCCCCAAATTCAAAAAGTGAGTGTTTTGAATGGATTCAGGGCATCAAGGCAGCCACGACAGCACAACAAAAGAGATTCACGGAAGAGGACTTTCAGAACTGCTTCCAAAAATGGCAAGAACAATAGGATAAGTGCGTTCAAGGTGGACGGGAGTGTTTGAGGGGGATTAATAGTAATCTGCCCATACCGTATTTTTCAATCTCGCCTCATATATTCTACAACATGGGGTTCTGAGTTTAGCCCCGGGTACCAAGGAGCCTGTAAGCCTCGTGATTTGGGGAAATGTTTGTGCATATGTATATTTTTTTCTGGGTGAAGGTCTTAGCTGTCATGAGACTCTCAAAGGAGCCTGTTACCTTCAGAACCATACCAGCTGCTATTCATTGATAATTTACTGTGTTGAGTTTATGCTAACATTATTGCTGCTACTGTTATTTGTTGTACGAGAGATACTATTATTTCTGCCTTTTTTTTTTCTTTTTGGTACCGGGGATGGAACTTGGGACCCCTATGAGGCAGGCGATGGAACCACTGAGCTAAATCCCTAGCCCCTATTTATGCCTGTTTTTGATACTTTAAAAACCTGCAGCTTTGAACAGTTAAGTAGCCTGATGGGACCCAAAGATGGATCTCAGATCCAGAAAGGCCAACCCTAGCACGAGTCCCTTAACCGTGACTGTCTCATTAATGTTTCCCGTGATGCGGGGAGACTGAGGTTACTAGCCCATTTTAGATACAGACACTGAGGGTCAGATATGCTTGGTCTCATAGCTGGTAAGTGGGTGGAGCTGGGGTTCAGTGCAGGGCTGAGGTGACCCTTATGATGGTGGAGGCCCTTGGGGTAACAGGAGGCCTAGAGCAGGACGTGAAGGGCATGGGCTGGGGCAGGTGGGTTGGTACCACAGTACCATTAGCCTTGAGTTGGCTAAGCTTTAAGTGGGAGGCTGGAAGGAATCTAACCTTTTATTATGACTTCTTGAGCACCTGCTAGGTACTAGGCTAGAGATTGCAAGCTATTCGCCCAGTGTAACTTTTTAACAACTCGAGTCAATTGCATATATCAAAGGAAGAGGACATAACAGCTCCTGCACTTGTGTAAAAGCAGAGGCCCTGCCGCTTCTGGCCACAGGGTTGGATGTAACACACCGCCTGTTAGATGGGGTGTATGGTCTCTGCTTTTCCTACAGCTCAGTCCTGTAGCGCCTAACCTCCATGCCTCTTTCGTTCACTGCACAGCCCCCCTCACACCTGTGCACCTGCTTGGCCCCTGTGGGCAGAGAGTGGGACCTTCCACCCTGCACAAAGCCTGTGTTCTTGGGAACATGGTTCAGGGTGAGGATGGAGAACTCTCCTGTACACTGGGTCCCCAGCCCAAGTCCCCAACCCACAGATCCCAAAGGATATTTTTCCAATGCTTATTACACTTCTGGGAAGCCCAGGTGGTCTAGAAAGTCCTTCCAGCTCTACCAAGGATAAGTTTTCTCATCTTAAAGGTCTAGCCCAGAGATCTAAGCCTTTTCCAGAAAGAATGTCCACTCAGGGGTGCCAGTCACTGCCCTGGGCCTTGCAAGGGGGAAGAAAAGTCAGGTGGAGGCTGCCCTAGGCTCTGCAGATCTTTCAAGTCATCATGGCCTCAAAGAACCTCAACAATACAAGGGATATTTAGGCAAGGGGATATTTAAAAATCAGTGTACATTATAAAAAGGCTGCCCCCTCCCTCTCACTCCCAACCCCCTACCCTGGAGACGTGTGATTAGCAGAATCATGGATGCGTATAGATGTGTATAACACATGTCACAAAAACTGTGTGTTGTGTGTGTGTTCTCTAGCTTGCTCTTTTCACTTAAAGATGTGCCCTTTTCTGTCATAAGTGTTAGCATAGTCAGACCTAAGACATCTGGTAGTGGTTTTCATTTGTTTGTTTGTTGTACTGTGAATTGAACCCAGGGCCTTCCTAGCCCTTTTAAAAAATTTTTATTTTGAGACAGGGTCTCACTAAGTTGCTAAGTTGCCCGAGCTGGGCTTGAACCTGGGATGCTTCTGTCTCAGCCTCCCAGAGTGCTGGGATTACAGGCAGGCACCCCCATGCCTGGCTAAAACATCTCTTTGAATAGTTAATAAATGCCAACATTAAATGCAGTTGTATATAAGGGCATATTTCTGTATTATTCCTTGACCTCCCAGTTTCCCTCCGTAGAGAAACTGTGGCCTTAGTTTCTTATATGACTTTCCAGCAATATTTTATACAGGCAGATATAAAGCCCTTCTCTCTCCCCACACTGTTCTCACAGGCCACACACTGTGGTGTGTCTTGCTTTCTGCAATTGATTATGTACTTTAATGCTCTGGAACTGCTGTACTTTTCTATTCGCATGTTTGCGATATACGATAATTGCATTCATCTTGGAGTTAGTACATGTACATATCACAATTTGATCATTTGCACGCTCCTTCCCCCTCCCCATTTCTCCTTCCCTAGGTCCTCTTCCCATAGCTAAATCATGGAGCAGCCTATATCCCCACCAACAGAAGAGTGGGTAAAGGAAATGTGGTGTATGCACACAATGGAGTACCACTCAGCCATAAAGAAGGATAGATTTGAATCATCTGTAGGAAAATGAACGGATCTTGAAGCCATAATACTGAGTGAAATAAATCGGACAAGTTAAATGCTGCATGGTTTCTTAATAGGCTCGCTGTACTCTCTAAGAACAGCACAGCCTTCCATAATAATTGAGTCCGTCCCCTCCTGATGGGCATGCAGGTTGTCTCTGGTCTTTCTGCTGTTAGAATCCAGGCTGTGGCAGAAGCACATACTGGATGAACTGCACCTCTAGAATAGACACCTAGAAGGCAGTGGTACTGCACGACAGCCTTGTAAACCGGGCTTGGTTATGCATGGTGTCATAGAGGAGGGGCCCTCAGGGCTCGCAGGTGTGAGGCAGAGTTGAGACCCCTCGGGCTCTGTGCTTCTAGTCTTGTCCCTGCACCTCCTCTCCCTGCTTCTCAAATTTTCCCAAGATTTTGGGAGCAGCCCCAAGCTCAGGGCTCTGTGGCTGACCATATAAAGTGTCAGGGAGCAGCTAGGGCTGCTTCCTAATATGGTCACAAGAAGGAAATCCTGTGTCTGCAGCTGGGACCTGCTGGTGGCACAGGGCCCACGAGATGCTGGCTGGGACCCAGGAAGTGAGGATTTGAAGCCTCTGAACTTCACCACTGGGAGAGGGGCTTGGGTTCTGCTGGGTGCTGCTGTGGCTGAGCTCAAGCCCGGAAAGAGAAGAGATGGCTGGGAAGATCGGGAGAGGAAGCACATGGAGCTCCACGGTGACAAGGCTCTTGTCCCCATGAGACAAAAGGCCCAGGAGTTGTTACTAAGGCTGACTGAGCACCTACTATACACCGTGCACGGCGCTAAATGCTTTCCAAGTGTATTACCCCACAGCAAACCCCTGATGGAACTGTTAATAAGCCCCCACCCCCTGTGTTGCAGATGAGGATAACTGAGGCTCCCAGAGGGTCACAGGACTAGGAGGAGCAGAGGGAGGGTTCAAATCCAAGTTCCCAGTACCCGGTTCTGTGCCTTTAACTGGTGTGGCCTGAAGGGGATGTGGACCTGCTGACCACTGAAGCCATCACCGAGTGTGCACTTGCTCTTTGGGAGCCCTCAGCTCACCACGTGTCTCCTGAGCACCTACTGTGTGCAGCACCACCCCTGGGGTGCAGTGATGAAAGCAGCCTGTCTCTACAGTATTTGGGCATTCATTTTGCAAGCACTTAATTAGTACCTACTGTATGCCAAGGTCCATGCCAGACTAAAAAGGACAGTGGGGAGGAGGGCATCCAGGTGGCACCCTCATCAGGCTGGGTGGGGTTCTGACCCCTGCTTACCTTGCCAGGAGCCACTGCCCTCTTGGCTTTGCCTTTCCAATCCTGTGAGTGGCAGCAACACCCAGCTGCTTGCAGTTCACTTTCCACGCCCCACATCCTGTTTCCCCGCCCCTCTGCCCCTGCCTTGGGTGCCCCTCCAGTTAACACCTTCTTGTCCTGTCAGATTCAGTGCTGGGGCAGCGCCTCCAGAAGTTTCCTGACCTCTACCCCGCAACCACCACCACGTGGCTTAGGGGCTTCTCTGGCTTGCTCTCACAGCCTCTGCTTTCACGACTGACTGTTGAAGGACTCCGGCCTCCCTCTTCTGCTCTGTGTGGCCATCATTGGTTTATCTCCATCCTCCAGTAAGACCTGGTATACGGTGGGTGCTCAATCAATGGTTACATGGATGTTTAAACAGGCCCTATATCGGACCTAGGAAACCATTCCCTCCTCCTCCCTCCAACCCTGTACCGCCGGCCCGAAGGATTCCCTTCCTCCTGCTGCCCCCTGCTGTCACACACCATTGCCCCTCACTTGGCTGCACCTGGGAGGACTTTCCACACTCTAACCTTCCTAGCTCTTGACTGAAAGCACCAGGAGGCAGGGCCTTTCTGGTTTTGGTGTGTTCTACTATAGTCAGCACCCTGGCTGCCTGGTGTCTAGGAAGTACAGAATGAATGTGTGCACAATGATCCACTTATTTCTAGAGGACAGACAGAGGTTGGATAGCTTAGCGGACATGCTCATGGCTAGGAGAGGTCAAGCTGGGTGTGCTGCTGCCAGGGTCTTGCTTGCCGACTTCCTTGAGTCCCTTAGCCTCTCTGCTGTTTGGTTTGCCTCCAGCGTGACCCAGAGATGGACTCTCTGATCTTCCTCCAATGGTCACTCACCAAAGAGTTGGGGGGAGGAAGAGCACCGTGGCCATGGCAACCCTGATGCTTATGGTTTGGGGAGAGCAGTTCTGGGGAATGAGTTGGAGCTGGGACCTTGGCTCACAGGGGAATCTGATGCACAGTGAGGAGAAATAACAGTGACGCTGGTGCCTCTCCCGTGCCCACACAGCATCTGTGATGTCCCCTTCCCCCTTCTAGTGACTCAGACATCCTGTTCCCCTGGGAGGTGACTGTATGGTAAAATATGGCTGCTGGATGGTAAAATACATGCAACCCAGAGCCCACCACTCTAATTTTTTTTTTTGGTACCGGGGATTGAACTTGGGTCCTTGCACTTGCAAGGCAGGTAGCGGAACCCCTGAGCTAAATCCCCGGCCCTACCACTCTAAACAGTGTAGAATACACAGTTCAGTGGCATTCAGTGTGTTCATCACACTGCAGCCATCACCTCCACTAGCTCCAGGGAATTTGTTTGAGGGTGCGGTGCCGGGCTGGAGCCTAGGGCCTCGTACGTTCTAGCAGACAAGTGTTCTTCCCCGGTCACATCCTCAGCCCCGGGATGCTCTCACAACCCCAAAAGGAAACCCTCACCACCAGCATACAGTCCTCACAGTCCCTGGGAACCACAAGTCTATTTTTTCTTTCTGTAGGTTTCCTGTTCCGCCCGTTCAGGCTGAGGCAGAAGGATCACAAGTTCAAGCTCAGCCTGGGTAACTTAGTGGGACGCAGTCTCAAAACAAAAAAATAAAAAAGGGCTGGGGATGAAGCTTAGAGTGAAGGCCCTGGGTTCTATCCCCAGCACTGCAGAGGGCAAATGAACAAACCATACAATACCTGGCCTTTCGCACCACACCCGGGAGGATCTTCACACTACAGCCTGAGTCAGTGCTTGGTTCCTTTGGGAGCACAGCTGTGTTTATCCTGTTCCACATCAGTGTCCCCATCACAGGGCAGCTGTGAGGATTCAGTAAGATGCCAAGCAGTGCTCCACTCGGGATGGTGCCTAGTGAGTGCTCATAAAAGGTGGCTGTTACTCAAGTCCAGAGACCCGGGAGGTGAAGTGACAGCTGTGCGGGGTGGAGCTAAGATTGGAACCTAGGACCCTGTAAAAACCACACCGTTGTAAACTACAACATATGCGGCCTAGACATAGTCTTGCCCTTGTTCCTTTTCCCCTATACCCAGAATACCCATGAGGCCAAGGGGTTCCCACTGAGCCTCAGTTTCCCTGTCTCCACGGTGAGAGTATTGAGCAACTCTGTTGATGCTCTCCTTCCTGCTGAGGTCTGGAATTAAGCTCTGTTCTCCATCCACAGACTTACTCCGGCCTCTTCTGTGTGGTGGTCAACCCCTACAAGCACCTGCCCATCTACTCGGAGAAGATTGTGGACATGTACAAGGGCAAGAAGAGGCACGAGATGCCACCCCACATCTACGCCATTGCTGACACAGCCTACAGGAGCATGCTGCAGGGTGAGCAGGGCTGAGGTGTGGGCCCCCTGCTCCTCCCGTCTCCCTGCCTGCAGTTCTCGCCAGGAATGTGGAGCTTGGCGGGCAGTGCTAGGGGACAGGAGGGCTGTGACTGAAAAAGGGAAAAAGCGAAAGGCCAGCATCTGTGTTTGCAGCCCAGGAGGGTGAGGGGAGCAGGCAGCTTGGGCAAATACGGGCGTGGGCTGTGCTGGCTTGGGAGCGAGCTGCCCCTCCAGCCACCTGGGGCCCTGGCCGGGACAGCTGTTTGCAGAGCAAGAGGACGGTGACAGGCCTGGGGCTGAGCCAAAAGATCCAAGTTTGTGCCTACCTGCCTCTCACTTCCTGTGGGAGCGTGGGCAAATGTCTTTGCTCTCTGGCCTCAGTTTCCTCATCTATAAAAGGGGATAATAGTCTTTGTCTTGCAGCTTGTTGTAAAGCTTGCTTGTGCCGGCTTTTCCAAACTTAAGAGTGCTGCACCTTCATATTTATGTCTTGCATCCTTTATTGGAAATGCTTGGGACCAGAAGTATTTCGGGGTTTGGATTTTTTTCAGATTTTGTAATATTTACGTATATACAATGTGATTCTTTGAGCATGGGACCCAAGTCTAAACCCTAAATTAATTTATGTTCCATATATACCTTATTTCACAAAGATAATTTTATATAATATTTTCAATAATTTTGTGTATGAAACAAAGTTTCATGGTGTGGAATTTTCCACTGCGGCCTCATGTCCGTGTTCCAAATTGTGTGTGTTGGGTTTTCAGCTTAGGGATGCTCAGCCCGTATTACTGCTATTATTAATAGACTTTTTATTGAAGTGGATGGTAGATACAAACAGCAGGGTGCATAAAATGCACCAAAGAGTCCGGTTTAAATTTGATTTTTGTGTATGGCTGCAGTGATGTGACCTTACCCAGACCCGGGAGTGAAACACTGCTAGGCAGCTCCTCCTTGTGTCTCCCTGCCGACACCTCTTCCACACTCCCACCTGAAGTAACTGGTCTTGTGGCTTCTGTCACCTTCCGTTTCTTGTTCTTGGACCTCATATAAATGACACCTTTGTATTATTTACTTCATATTTTCCTCAGAAGCTTCTTCCCCTCCCCAGTCTACTTCAGCCTAAGCAAAGCCCAGCAGCACACCATATTGATTAAGAGCAGAAATTTTAGACCTGAACTTCCTGTGTCCAAAGGCCAGCTCTGCCATTCATGAGCTGCTGAGCCTCTCTATGCTGCCCTTTCCTCCTCTGTGAAAGAGGATTGCAATTAACTGTGAGCTACCTCTCCAGTCTGATGTGAGCATGTGAAGTCCTCAGGACAGTGTCTAGAACTTGGTGAAAACTCACGGAGTATAAACTAATACAGGTTGAGCATCCTGAATTCAAAACTCCTAAATCCAAACTGCTCTAAGATCTGAAAATGTTCAGCATCAACATGATACCATAAATGGAAAATCCCACCCCACTGAACTTTATTTCATGCACAAAATTATTTAAAACATTGTATAAGTTACCTTCAGGCTATGTATACAAGGTTTATATAAGACAAATACGTTTAGCTTTTAGACTCGGATCTCATTCCCAAGTTATCTCATTATATGTAAGCAAATACTCCAAACTCTGGAGAGAAAAAAATAACCCCAAAACCTTGAAACCTGAAAGACTTTTGGTCCCAAGCATTTTGGGTGAAGAATTTTTAACCTGTAATACATAAATGTATGGATATTTCCTTCATGTTTATGCATAGTGCATCCATGTTTATGAATATTAAAATAAAGGATGTTCAACCTGTAACACACAAACATGAAGGTAATACAGAACATGTTGCTTGTTGACATATGCTTGTTACTCTGTCTGTACCCTCAGTCAGTACAAATAATTGCCCAGAGCCAGGTGACCATGGGCTGGAAGCCTCACCCCCCTCTACAGGAGGGACCTGTGGGAACATGGGGATCTGAACTGGGAATTGGTTTTTTGTTGTTGTTGTTATTTGGTACCGGGGATCGAACTTGGGTCCTTGAGCTTGCGAGGCAGGCGGCGGAGCCACTGAGCTAAATCCCTGGCCCTGAACTTGCAATTGGGAAGAGCCCTGTGCTGGAAGGGCAGGAATCCAAGTGTGCTCAGAAGGTCCCGCCCCCAAGGTAGAGGGCCCGGGTGTTACTGACAGAGTGAGCCTGACCTGGCAGCAGAACTGGTCGCTCCAGACGCGGGGCTGCCTTTGCCTCCAAAGACCAGCAGGGGGGCGATACAACCCCGATCTCGGAGATGCAGATCTCAGAGAGGTATAGGCTTTGTTGTATGATTCTGTCTGCGGTCTCCCTGGATGAGAGTATTTAAAAGTGGTTGACACACCTCTTTGGGAAGCTGGACACTGAAATTATGGTATGGTATGGTGTGGCATGGTTTTCGGTTGCAAGTAACATAGCTAACTAACGTGACTTGGACGATAGTTTATTACTTTATGTCGTAAAGTCTCAAGGTTGCTGGTTTCAGGGTTAATTAGCTCAGCTCAAAATCAGGCTTCTTTGGGATTTTTCTTGGCTTCTTCCTCGTGATCACAAGATGGTAGCTATAAATCCAGACATCACATTTTCATGTAATAATATTCAAAGCATGAAAGGAATAGAGGCTCTTTTCCTCTGTCTCTTTAAATCAAGGAAGAACTTGGTCACATGCCAACCCCTAAGCCAATCACCAGGAAAGGGGCATGGGGTGCTCATGATTGGTTTGGATCATTTCTGGGTTTTTTTCTGGAGCTAAAGGAAGTCTCACTAAGCACATTTTATCCAAAAGTCAGGATGAAATAAAATGGGGTGAGCAAAGGACAGCGGGGGAGTGACAGGTGTGGAAGCATTGCTACAGTGCTCTGAAAATGTATTTGTAACTTTAAACATCTTTAATGTTAGCCAGATGTGGTAGCACACACCTGAAATCTCAGCTCTCTGGAGGCTGAGGCAGGGGGAGTTTGCAGATTAAGCCCCTCCTGGACAAGGAAGCAACTGAGTGAGATGTCTCAAAACAACAACAAAAAAGCACAAAAAGCCTGGGGATGTAGCTCAGTGTGTAGGCCATGGGCTTAATCGCCGGGACTGGAAAAAAGTCCTTATACATTCATTACAGAAAAATGTAAACCTATATTTAAGCAAAGGGAGGCAGACCATGCTGTCATTCTGCTACTTGCCTGATCTGATCGCTGGCAAGGACACTTTGCTCCGCAGCCCAGCCTGTGATTCACCAGCTGAGCAGATTGGCGAGGAACTATCTGAAAATAATTGGGGAAAAGACGGCTTTGAACAGGGACCAAAGTTTCCCTATCTGGATAGTAAGGAGGCAAAGGGATGAAAAGGTTTGACCAGGCCTGGAGAATGGCATGCATGGCGCATTATGAAAACAGGTGGATTTCTTTCTTTTTTTTGGTACCGGGGATCGAACTCAAGACCTTGTGCTTGCAAGACAGGCATGGTGCTGCTGAGCTAAATTCCCAGTCCTGGATTTCATTTTCTTACCTGTGTGAGGGATTCGGTTGAAATTGCAAACACAGTAGATGCTAATTCTTAGATTGAGTATAAAATTAACTGTGGATTGATTTTTCTTTTTTTGCTTGACTTTTTTTGGACAAAACCATGTGAAAGCATAAGCCCCCTCTCCACTTCGTGCCTGGCCTCTGCAGTGTGGGCTTTGAGGGTCCTTCTTGCTGATCTTAGGGGGCAGTTTTCCTGAGGGCTTCTGTTACTTCGAGGGTGCTGAGCACAGTCTCCCTGAAGTACCTCTTATCATTTATGATGAGTATTTAATACTTAGTTGTGAACGATGACTATTTCTTCCACTGCTGCTGCTTCTGCTTCTTCTGCTTCCTCCTCCTCCTCCTCCTCCTCCTCCTCTCCTTCCCTTCTTCTACTGAGGGTTGAACCCAAAGCCATCACACTGAGCTACATCCCCAGCCCTGTTTTATTTTGAAACAGGATCTCACTAAATCTCTAAGTTGCCCAGGCTAGGCTGGGACTTATGATCCTCCTGCCTCAGCCTCCCAGAGTGCTGGCATTACAGGTTTGTATCACCACACCTGGCTTGACCTGACTCTTTTCATGGCCTTTCCAGAGGCATTGACTCTGGGAAAATGCAAGGTCCTGAGTTCGATAACCAGTACTGAAAAAAATAAAATAAAAGTACTCAGAATTATTCAGTGGCCATTTCCCAAGCCCCACAAGCAACCACATCCAGAGAAGAGATGCTATTTATTTAATTTAAATATTAATCACCTGCTATGTATTCATTTTGGCATTACCTTGTGCTTTCCATTGACAATAGGAATTCAGAACAAACAAAAACACTAGCTGGGTACAGCGCTGTATGCCTGGAATCCTAGCATTCTGAGAAGCTGAGGCAGGAGGATCCTAAGTTCAAGCCCAGCCTGGGTTGACTTAGACCATGTTTCAAAATAAATAAAAAGGGAGGGGGGATATAGTTCAGTGCCAAGGCCTTGACCCAGGTTGTGACTGCATCGATGCATGCTACTGCGTCCTGTTATTAAGTCATTTGGCCCAGACCACACTGACCTTACTGCCTTGTTGAAGCAGCAAAGCTAGCAGGCCTGGCTGCATCCTCCAGTCCTAGGTGGCACAAGATGGAGTGTGAAAATGTAGGGCTGGGGAGCCATGGGTAACACATGTGTGCTGAATGGGAATGGAGCATTTAGGTGAGTTACTTGGGCACTGAGTTCCCAAGGACCTACAAACTCCCCAACGCCCATAACCTGTGCGCTGATCTGCAGTGAGCATGTGGGAAGACATAGTTCGTGACACCCCGTCCCCTAAAGAGGAAGTCAAGCCCCTTGAGGGAAGGGGGCAAGGGACATAAGCATTTAGAACTGCATCTTACTTGTGCGTATATATAAATTATGTCAGGTTTTTGCTTAGATTTCCACATGCTTTTTTGTTTCTTTTTGGAAAGAAGCTTTTCCCTTCAACCGTTATGCATTAGACCCTAGTTGGCCTCTTCAG